CACACACACACACACACACACACACACACACACACACACACACACGTACACACAGCCAGTGGGCTGCCGGGCTGGGATCATAGATACGCTGGTGTGACAGGTCAGACAGAGGCAGCAGCTCAACTTTACACAGAGAAATACGAGTGACAAGGCGGCCTTCGAGAGGTCAGCGTGGCACCGACCCTGACCACTATCTTGAGCCTCGGGCTACTCACACCATTAATGTTCATCAGCCTTAAACAAGAGAAGGGACTTTAATTTATTACGGAGATAACGATACTTTGGGTTGTCCTCATTCATAAAAGCATTGCTCAAGAACCCTCGCTAAAAAGGAAAGCTAATGTTACGATTAGCGTAAGTATAAAGATAATCATGGCTTTCTGAGTGATGATTGTACGTGACTGGCACATAGGAAGCGTGAACATGGAGATGGGCACGTGACACGGTGCTTGTGGGGAGCAGTGTGAACCGGAACATGGGCACTGGTGATGAAAATGGCGGTGTACGCATGAGGAATAAGGAGAGAAGCTGGAGTCGGGTAAGCAGCTCAAGGTGAAGGCTCTCTTGCTTCTGTTAGCGCTTTTTCTGCCTTTAAACAAAATTGTGATTCATTTGAAAGGTACACCCACTCATTTGCCTGTGTATTATAAACCAACCTTTCACAAAAGGTGGCATCCAATTCGCGGAAGACGCTCTAAGTGCAGACACAGGAGCGTCTAAAGCAGGAATCTGGGCCCATTAGTTAATTACTAACATCAGAAGTCATTACTCCCAAGTTCTCTTCTCTTCGTGCTATTATGAATTGTTTCTGTGAAGTGGAAGCAATGATGGAGAATTCTGAAGAATGAGGAAATTATATGGGATATGTTCACAAGACAGAAGGCAGGGGAGTGCTTTCGAGAGTCACGCACGCACACACAAACAGTAGAGACAAAAGCTTTGGAAACTCGCAAGTCTGCACACACAGGCTTTGCTCTGCGGGCCGTTAAAATGTTCAGTCTCGAGAGCAGGTGCACAACACCCCCGGCAATCAACCAGATGTGCTCTCGGGAAGTTGAGCATAAGCAGCAGTCTCTTTAATAAGAACAGTTTGTGGGCTCTGCGCATGGTCACTAAAGGACTCCACGCAAAGATTCCTTCAATTGAAGCAGGGATGGTGACATGACAAGGCCCCCATTAGCCATTTTGAAACTTCTCATCAGAACAGCAAGCATTCTAGAGCAAAGATGTTTGGGACCCATTCACCAGCAACATCGCTGTATGACAGTGTGAAGGACAGCTCTTGGCCCATGTCCCATATACCCTGCAGGCTGAGCACAAGGTTCTTGAGCAAGTGGCACATTCTGCTAAAACGAAGGCACAGACACCAACACACAAAGGCACTTGGGCAGGTGACGAGGTACATTTGGATAAAGGAACTTTACTTTTCTGGTTGGTTAGTAATCACTTCGTAATCATCCTTTCTTGGGTTCAGTCCTCATAAGATGGCACAGAAATGGGGACAGAAATCTAAAAATTGGTTAAAATAAAACCCCACCATCCAGACAGCTGAGACTAAAGACTACATGAATGGTAATTTACAGTCCAGAATCCAACCACTTACACCTCACTACTTGGTAGTTTTGCATTTTTTGTTGTTGTTGTCATTTTTTAAAAATATATCTTTTACTATATGCATTAGAGCAACTCTTCCTTGTGTCATGCAGTTACTGGGGTTCACTGTTACACTTCCAGCTCCTGGAACAGTGCCTGGCACATAGTAGAAGCTCATTAAATATTTGTTGAATGAATGAATGAACACATCACCATTAAACAGAGAAACACTTTGGAACCACAAAAGAGTTAAGTCTTTCGCTAATTGCTCATTAGCCAGGTAAGGGGTAACAGTGGTGGGATCTAGCCTTACTCACAGTAAATTTGCACGCTTGACAACAGCCGAGCGAAATTCTGATGACAGAACAAAAGGTCAGAAGAGAGCAGACAACCACATCTGTCTTTGTGTGCAGACACACACACACACATAAATATAGACTGGGCGGCAAAGCAAAACCATTTAACCGATTCGTCTTTTATCCATTTGTTCAAGAACAACCTTATATTTGTGAATATACCCAGAGAGATCTACCAGATGGTTAAGAGTTTGGTATTAAATACTGTGGAAGCCTATAAGTCAGCCATCTCCTTACATCTATGCGTTCCCCATTTCCCAGAAGAGAGAGAGGATAGATGAGGCGGCGTATTTATACCCCTCCCCACCTTCTCCTAGGGGACCGACAGGGGGATTGTGCATGAACCCCAAGCCACCCCTGAGCCTCTCACACAGGACAGCAAACTTGTGACTTTGGGAGTGAGAGTCAAAGGCAGTCCTTCAAAGGCGCCACCATCACCCTCCGCCAGGGGGGTACATCAACACGCCTGCAATGTCAGCCACCCGGGCCAATGTTCCCTCATTAAGTTAATTTGGTCATCGGTGCTGAAGACAGAATCCAAATGATGACAAACCTAAAAAAAGACGCCCCAGCTGAGGCAACGGGGGTAAAGTAAGAATAACAACCAGCGGCAGCAGAGAGCGTGAGTGGGTGGCAAGCGAGCTGAGGCAGATACTACTCTGAGGAAAACAACGCATGTGACTCACTTCTTTCCTTTCTAAAAGCAAGAACCGGGCTTTGGCCACAGAAACCTAAAACCCCAATGGCTCTCTGCACTGGTTTTGCTAAGGTAATGGCGCAGCAAATATCTGCTGAGAGGAGGGTATAAGAAAGAACCAAAAAAATTACAAACGCACGGTTTCATTTTTCTCACTGCCAGGTGAGAGCAAACAGAAAAAACGGTAACAACAGTGGGGGGGTCTGCTGCCGGTGCTGAAATGTCCAGGGCTGGCTCCTCCGTGCTACTCTACAGGGCTCTCTCCAAAACCTCCTCTCGCCATCACCTGTGGGGTGACAGTGCCCATGGGACGATGTTTGAGCCTTCTTGACCCCTTCCCTTTGAGACCTCTAACCTCTTATCTTTGAACTTTGCAACTTTCGTTCCTGCTCACCAGAATTTTATCAGCCATCTGCTGGATCTGTTGGGACTTTGTCTGGATGTCATCCTTCAGTCTGTTTTCTCTACGCTCCATGGTCTCTAGTCTCTTTACCTTGTTCTCCAGAGAATGGCGGCGTTCCTGTAGGTCGTGAATCAATCAGAGAGTTTTAATGGAGCAAGTGCTGTGGGCATACCACCTGCAAACCGAGGGAAAGAGCCCTCAACAAGTGGACACTCGAGTCAAGAAGACAACCTCTTGGGCACCTGAAGCAACGGCGAAGACGACAACTCTAGAATTCAGGTGCGAGGCTGTGTGGATTACAAGAGTGCATTCATTCATTCAAATATTTACCAAGCACCTACTATCTGCAAAGCACCACACTAGGCGTCATATGAAATACAGAGGAAGATGACGTCACTCTGCCCTTGGAAAAGATAAGACAAACAACAGATAAACACAACACAGGTTAAGAGTGGGGAGAACCATAAAGCAAAAGGCGCAAAGGGCGGTAGGGAGCAATGAGCAGGAAGGGAGATGTTTAACTGCACA